GATCAGCTGAGTCTGGTCATCTGCGAGGCGATCTGGTCGTTTATCCAACGATTCTTCTACGTGCTGCCGTGACCTAGCCAGCTCAGACAATTTCGAGCCGTTCGAATGAAGATTTCCGTGCCATTACCGTTAATACGATCGAGAGATTGCCGGACGGTTTCTGGGCAGCCGCGCGAACGGGAAAAACGAAACGGAGAAAACGGAGGCGCCCCTCACTCGTAGCGGGATCCCCTTCTCTCGGTTTGCACGACGTGTGCGTGATGCTAGTTAGAGAAATCATAACGTACTTACCGAGCCAATACGAACGCCATTAAAGTAAACCGAGCGGGGAATCGATTCCGGGGGCCTTTATCGGGGTCCGATCTGCCGGATGCCCTCCGCGCGAACGTGTTCCTTCCTTTAGCTACCATCTCATCCTTCTATTCTATTTTCCCTTCGATCCGCGTTGGAACCCGCGGCCACTTCGGTCCGATGCATGCAGAAACGCCACGAACGTGAGCATAATCGATTCTGATCCGAGTTCCGCACCATCTACTTCAATCTGACTTAACGGTCAAAGAACGGTCCCTGTTAGATACTTTGTATATCGGGGACAGGTTTCTCCGGTATAGTACATTGTGGGACAAAATGTTCCGCGACGAAACCGACGGACCGCTTCTGCATACTTGATAGGTCATCTTGTGCCATCAGGTGTAGCGAGAAAGGTAGCGAAAATTGGAACTCTTTGAAGTCCTACTTCCAGGTGAACTTAGGGGAAAGGTGTCTAAAACGATCCCTTTAAGGCGTAATTTTTTCCGTCGGTCAGGAATCATTTTACCCCGAAGGATCGTTTTAGACACCTTTCCCCTACTCTAAACCTGTGTACCCGAAAATGTTGAATGCTGTTTCAGTTGGAAAATAATTGTTGTAAATAATCATATCGGGAACACGTCAATCATCCGGTTTAATAGTCCTACATTTACGAAACCTCGGTGAAAAATGCTTCAAGCGTTCCTGTCGCCCTATCTCGACTTTTTTTTCCACGAAGTTCGAAACGAAAGCGGCGTCGGTCCCGATGACGGATGGCTGTCGCTTATAAGATCCCTTCTCTAAGGCCCCCTATCGTCGCCGGACCCATTACAATTCATTGCTCAGTGATAGATGTCCCTCGTTCTGCTCTCGATGGTTGATTGAGCTTAACCTGCGCCTCGCCCATGGGGGGAAAAGAATGGCTTGATTTCGTGCGATCATATTTAACACGCCTATGGTGCCATTCAGGTGTCTTGCGCGGTTCCCGTGGCGTGGCTCGATGCAGCTCGCGAGTCAAAACCGTCACGATTTATGGGCCGTTTGTCCCATGTGTCTGTTGCGCAATGCACTGTCACGATGGGATTTTCTACTCGAATTTCAGCACCATTTTTGGAGGAATCGTTGCAAGACTATTATACAAGATCAGAAATAATTGGAGGAATAGGTAGAAGGACCTAAACGCAAAACCCCTAGAAAAATACAACGCTAAGATCCTACTGAATCCTCCTTTGAAGGGATTCCAAATATGTTAGCAGATCCTACCCTAATTGCACCTGGAATCTTCATATCCAAAACGAGAACAAGGCCACAGGCAACAGAAGAAAACGACATTGCTATCTAACCTTGAACATAGGAACAGTGTGGGTGAACCAGGAGCCATTAGGACTCGTTTTGTAGAAATCACCTGTACGTCTTTGAACACCGTAGGAAGTATAGAGGATTCATTTCGACGGACACCTCGCGGCTGACTGATGCTCGTCGCTTATCGAACCGACGTCCGAAACGGATTGAAATATGTCCACGTTCTCGTTCCCGGGTTATTGAACCCCGTGTCCTTTCCCCTCGCGGCTCCAGCCTTCCTTTCCCGCCACTCGAATTCCTAATGTTCGGTTATGATAGCTGGGAGAAGTTACGGGGCCGCGCAGCGGGACGTCTCCGTTGGGTGGAGAACAGTCGGCAGCAGCCATCATCGGGAATTAGTGCTCTTCCGAGAAGCTCGTCGAACTCAACGATGTGTCAGTAACTTCGGAGATACTTGTCTCAGCCCCCGTGACGATCGCGCCCGTTTATATGAATTCCCTGGTGATAACGTCCGCCGTGGATCCTTTTATGGCCAGAGAGTACAAATGCTTTCGTTAATGCTGCTCTCCTTCGTCGGTGGAACATTCTTTTTTAACGTCCGGACGGCCCCTAGACGGATTCTTCGATCAATTACTTCGATCGTGACGTTACGGATGGTCGAACGAAATACAGGGTGTCCATAAACTTTCCAAATATTTCTTTGAAAACGACGGGATGTGGTCGAGATAACGACGTGATTATAAGGAGGTCCATAAAGCGGCGTTTTATGAATGCATTATGGTAAGGATACGACATGTCTCGATAGCTCCATTCAATCATTTGAAATTCATCACCGAAATTGAGGCACACAACAATTTTGTTGCAAAAAAATATAACATAATTAGGAATGTTAAGCTATCAATATACTGCTTTTTTTCAATTGCTTTCAATTTACAAGGAATCGACTCGCAAGTAATCGACCACTCGTTTGAACCTGCAAACAGTATCTTCCAATGATCATTTTCATTCACGAAAGTAGAATCAAAGTGTATTAATCAGCAAAATCCACCGTTTGATCAAACAGTAAGCGGCTCGGAATTTGGACTCGAGTGATCGATCCATTCTGTGACCAGTACAAAACGCTGCCCAAGTACTCCGTCTAAATCATCGTGGAAAGGGATTGAAAAATGATCGGGACCAACACGTTCATAGAAAGTGAAACTGGAAGGAAGTCCTGGTGAACCCCAACCGGTCCCCGAAAGAATGACAAGAACGCCCTTTCACGGCGCGGAACGAGAGATACTTTATCGAAGGGCAGCCCGCGAGAGGGCGGGGGCCCGATATCTCATTCGGAACGCGATGGAACGCCGCGGGTTAATTTACGGATGGTCCCCGGCGCGGTCTTTCGGGGCACCGAATGCAAATACAAGTGTGGCGAAACCACAGGGGTCCTTACACTCCCGGGAACAAGTCCGCTGAAGATACAAATGGATCGTCCGAACGAAAAACCCGGGGCCCAGGGTCTCGCGCCACCCGAGCCACTAAAAGCGACTTAGCTGTGATAATGCCCGCTGAAAAATCGTGTTATTATTCACCTCGTCTGGGGTCCCGTAGCCGACCGGGGGCACCCGGTCTCGCTCGTGTTCGGAATCAATGGCGCTGTGCACAATGCATGATTACTTGCCGACGATTATCTTGCTCGTATTAAAATCGAATATCTCTTCTGGCTTTGCGGCCCGGGGGTTGCTCTTGGAGGTCTTTGACACTTGGACGCGTAAACGTGCCACGCAGTGCATCCAAATTGCAGAATATCAACCATGAACGTAAGAAGGTAGAAAAGATGCTTGAATTGTATGGCGCATCTGAACTCGTATGTGAAAAAATTAGCGCATGGTATGTAAAAGATTGGCCACCATTTCGAATGGTTCACCTAATATACTAAGAGATCCAGGACCCAGAGAATCTTCAAGAGTTCCAAACCTCGTCGATTCGTATAGACCAGCGAGAGACCATCTCAGGTGAGCGGGAAAAGGGGGGCTTCTTCGCAAGCAAAAGGGCAGGCATCGAGCGGCAGGCAAAGGTCCGTGACGCCGATGACACCGACGCGAACAACACAGCCAGATACCAGCCAAGGGGCATGATTTATCCTTATTTCCGCGGAGGGGGGAGTCGAAGTATCCGCGCGTGTGTATGCGAGAGTGCACCACGCTGCGGCACGCTTCTTCGTTGTTCACCCAAGCCAGATCGTGTCCCTTGATACCGGGGCCCGGGCCCAAGACGGTTCGTTCGCTCGCTTGCTCGCGCGACTCTCCCGAGCGCGCCGTCGCTTATGAATTATTGCAAGATCGGCGGACCGCGCAAAATTCAATAAAGTTATTTCGCCTTCCCCACCTTTTGCGCGGACGAAAGAGGCAGCAGGCCCCGAGCCTCGAGTCGGGGGCGGCGGGCGGGATCGGTTGGATTGAATTATCGGCGTTAAATTTCACGTTTTACGCGCAGCCTCGACGTACTACGCTGTGGCTTGTCAGCGGGCCCCAGATGGAGACATTATAAATGTTAATTGCACGAATTGCACAGTTATCGCGAGCCCTCGCTCTCTACCCGCTCTTTTTCCGCCCCCTCTTTTCACCCGACTTACTCGACCAGGGAACGTCCAACGTAACCGAGGGCACCTTGGTGTCTTTCTTCTTACTCTCTCTCTCTCTTTCTCTCTCGTAAACTTTCTCCCCTCTCCACGAGGAGAGGCTGCATTTGCATCTCAATCTCGCCGTTGATTTAGCAGTCGTCCAGGGCCATCACTCTTGGCCGCGGGAAAGGTCGACTTTAGTATTTTTAGATTAGCCAGCCGCGATATACACAGGGCCCCCGCGTCAGGCACTTTTTCAAGGTGGCCACAACCTTTCCTCCGGGGATGGGGCACCGCGGAGGAAGGTAGAAGGGAGCGGAGGTGGAGGATTCTTTTAAAGAAAAGAAGGTCGTGGCTGGTTCGAGCGGCTTTAAATTAAACCGGAGAAGGAGATGGGTCGCCCGGGCAGGAACCAGGAAAAGACCGAACGAAGGAGGTCGACTTTTGTCCTTGGAACGTACGACCCGTGTGGGCTGGGAGGGGTGGTTGTGTACCCGGGGTCATCGAACTTTTTCGTGGATGCATGAGAGATCCTTTTACCTGGAGGCTTTTACACGCTACGAGATCGAGGACAAATCGTTCCTCGTAAATACGCTCGGGGCAGCGAGCTCGATACGGACCTGGGATGAATTGTATTAGGTTCTTCGTCTTTCATACGGTAGTCCTTCCTTATTTGGAATTATTGACAGATACGACTAGTTTTAACATATTCGAAACCGTTATTCAACTATTGACGTGTAAATTCATTAGATTACACTACGCGAGGGAAGTAAGAAATTTCCAGATTACAGTTAACAAACATTTATTAGCCTTTGTTACTCTGAGACACGAATTCGCTGAGAGGCAACCCATCCAAATGATCTTCCTGCAACGGTAACCATCTGCATTCTATTTTCTCGGTGGTCTATATTGAAAGACTCGTGGGTTATTTTCGCAGGGAAATCGATGGGGAATGTGAGAAAACTAACCGTGTCGTAGACGTTCCCGTTATCGTCCGTTTTGCAAATCTCGTACTTAAACAGGATAGTGTTCGATTTTTCACCGATGTAGAACGATCTCTCACGCTGACCTCTTGCCGAAAACATCTCCCAGGAGTTCGCAGCGATTACACCGGTGATCAGACCAAACCATTCCACTCGGGACAAGTCTGGAGAAAGAACGTGCATTTTAATCTGTCGTAAAAAAAGAGGCTAGGGATCCTATATTCCCAACGGTCCCCTTCTGTCGTGTTAGTGGGGATCCTCTTTGTGTGCAGCGTGGAGTGATCAGCGCGCTATTATCTATAATTTTGTTGATTCGGTGAAAGTCTGACCTGAGTTTGTCTTGATTCGTGCAAAGGTACTGTTATTCGTACCTTCGTGGGATGAACGATCTATGGTCACTTGTCCCTTGGCCGACATGTCTGACCCCATATCCAGGAAGTAGTAGTCGAAAGCTCTGAATCTCAGGACGTTCTTGCCATTCTCAATCTCAACCTTTTCAGAATGATGTCATTAGTGAGTGTTTCTTTCACCGAACTCACGGAAAGAAAAGATCCATCAACGTTTTGGTAGATATAATAGACGTAAATAATTCAATCGATTGATTCTTTAATTCCTCATAGACAAAACTATCATCTTCTATGTAGTTTTTTTATTTCCCTTTATATTGCTGAAACTGAAATATTAATTTGAAACTGAAATTTAATTACTAGAAAATTCATGTGATCGTCCGTTGATTTGATCGCATTTAGATCCTTGCTCAGCCACTTGTCGTCGCTTTTCCCCTGCTTGAGGAAGTCTTGAATGGGACCTAGTACTTTAAGCATTGGTACAGCACAGAAACACTGTACCTATGGTTAACAGTGCTCGATTAGAATAAAGCTAAGACATGAATGATCTAATGTATTCATTTCGGAATATTCACATCAGTGGGTTCTTGAACGAATATGTGACCAATTCGATAGGCCTTTGTATCGACCAAATAGGGAATCGGCAAGTACGTCGATCCAGCAATTTGTTCAGAAACAATGGGGCCAGCAATGTCCCAGACCTTAGCTATGCTCATAGATTTCGAAATATGCATCCTCATTTTCTTCTTGTAAGTTGACATCTGTCTACTCAATGCCATTTTAATATCTACAATCGTTACCAAAATTATAAAATTTACAAAGTCTTAACACACGTCAGACAGAAATTTTGGTTATGTTCGACATTAATTCGATCAATTTTATATTAAGTGTATGCTGTCATTTAAAACGATCAACTGTACTTACGTTAAAGACTTACAAAATATTCCAATATACATATATACATATACATATATGTATATATATTTATTCGAGTTTGAATTGTTTATCAAGTCCTCTGGCGTTCAAAATCTCACAGGTTAGACTTCAAAAATTCATGTCAAGTCGAGCTTTTTTCGATCGTTCCGCTTGAATACGAGGACAGGAAAGTTGCCCAAGAATTCGAACGAGGTCCAAATGGGTTCCAAATCAAATCAAGCGATATTGGGGGAAGCGATCGATCACTCGGCTTGTCCTTTTGGCCGGCATAAGTACATCGGTCCGGCCATTTGTAATCATTAGCGCCATGGTGCCGTTGGCACTGGCGTCTTATTATGTCATTTCATTTCGTTCGTTTTCTTTCTGTCTTCCCGCATGGACCGGGGAGCGGCGACGCGTCATCGTGTATAGGCACACGCATATTTGCTATTGTCACCGACGATCATGATGAATCTAAACACGAATACGTGTCGAACGGGCCACGTCGAAGGGTCGAATTAACCTGACCCGGGGCGGGAGTACCGACAAGAGAGTTGACAGTTCATTTAATTAACCCTTTCTCTGCTAGTTAATTTCACCAAACTTCACCCTTGTCGATATAACTCGTGTTCGATCAAACGTGCAGCATACACGACGGTTCAAAACTCGGTGTAGCGAGACATTTAAGGGTACATTCTACTTCGACAGTCGAAAAAGTTAAGACATGTTTGGGAATTATTTCCTTAGTACAATACGTAACCAAATACACCTTGAAATTGGAGAAAAATATTTTGATTATATTTCAAGTTTTTTCTTAGTATGAATGTGACGTTTTAAAAAAAAATGTGTCGCCATGGCGCAGGTGATTTCTCAGCTCAGACTCATTTGAAACGAAAAATTCAAGAAGATTCTTAATCAGCACGAGTGTCGCTATCGAAACTTCTTACAAAACTTGTGCATTCAAATGAAAATGGATACCAAGGAAACATTGTATCTCCACAGGTAGCCATACAATCCTAACTACTTATTGATAGGCAATGGCATGCTCCAGTAGCTCCATACCTTAATATTCACCGTAGTTTAGTAGCACTAACAGTTCAAGTAACCCAGTTCGAAGTAATTATTTTCTGAAATCATTATCAGCCTCATAATTGTTCCCCGTCTAAAAACTCAACGAACACACGGTAATCAGTAGTATGTAACACCGCGGGGCGAGTTAGCGGTAATTCCGATTCCGCAACACCGTCGTTCGCGCGTTAGGTGCACGGTCGTTGCGGTAGTAAAATTGCCTACAGTATTGTATCCACGGAAAGATATTTAATTTCCCGGAATGCGATAAACCCGTTAATATGTGGAACCACGAACGTCGCTCGCGAGCCTGAAAATTAGCGTCGCGGGCCCCCCGAGACTTCTCGGATTTACGTGTTCCACCTAGCTAGCCGTGACGCAATTAAAAGAATCCCCAGGGCCTATTTCACGCGCGAGAACCGACCTTGCTGGCAGATTGAAATTTGTGACGGGACGGGATACTGTTCATTAGTTACGTCCGTATATCTTTATAATCAAAATTGGATAATATAATCACTTCGTCTGATCACCAGATAGTAGATACTCGTGCAAATTTCCATTTGCAGATACCATTACACAAAAATTCAGATGGTAACTATACACACTTTGGATAACTAGCAGGTCAACGGCGAGGTCTGTCACTGGTAGCGTCGGTAAGACGGGTGCACGGGGCCCCTGGTCGAGCCTTAAATTTCCGAGCTGGCAAATTGAAACGGCCCTGGGCCGCATCGCGATATTGCTTATGGTACAAATTTAATAAGGCGCCCGCTGGGGCCCCCAGTTACCATGCTAATATCATCCAGCATCGGCTTCGTGCGTGAGTGAACGCGCGCGGGCGCAGCTTCTCCACCTGACTCTCCGTGAGCCCAGCAGCGGGGCGAAAAAGAGGTGCAAAAAGGCTGGAAAAAGGGGCCAGGAAGGCAGGGAATCGGCAGAAAAAAAGAATACGAAGTAGGAGGAGAAACGACAAACGAAGACGACGAGGAGGATGACCGCAAAGGACGAGAGGGTCGACCGTGCATGGAGAGAGACTCGTAACCCGTAATGTTATGGCACTGCCCACCGCGAGGGGGACCTTAAGGGGATCTCGTGCCGAGGTCTTTAGTGCCAAATTGGTTATGCGGACGCTTTACGACACGGTTCGCCGATATTAGCCGAATGAATTACATAAATTATCCTTAGCGTTACGACGACGACTGCGGGAGAAACGACAGTGGAAAAAGAAACGCTGCGATAACGGGGCCAGTGTCGACTTTCCTGCGACTCCGCATTTTGGAGATATAATAATAGACGTAACATCTTATGGGACTTGGTGTCCCACGAAAATCATGCTGGTTAGAGTGTACCTCTAGTATATAGAGTTAGTATGTAGATTTCTCGATGTCGATGTTGGTTGTCATATGCAGGTAAAAAAACTGGAGTGATCTATTATCGAAGGATTACTGTATTGAAAGAAGTTCTAGAGAATAAGCGATATTGAATTCGCTAGGAACAACGTCCATAAGTCCCAAAGAGTAGGACCCCATCCCCTTCGTTTTATCATCCCGCGGAGTATCTTGCGGGGTACCTACCGCATGGCTCCGCTCGGTTCGTCTCGTCTTGTCTCGAGAAGAGAATAAAGACGGACAGAAGGGGATGGGCAGAGATGGGACCGAGAGAGGAAGAATCGAGTACTGAACATTTTTATCAGTCGTCGCTCCAGTCCTCCGCGGGAGGTCCTATGTGCGTGCCTGGTCGCCACGCAAACCAACGACCAGGTGGATTTTGATGATCGGTGAATGCCCAGGAAACTCTACGAGGATTCTAGGTATCCTCGTCGGAGAATCTTCCGGGGTTTATCCGCGGAGACTGTGGTGGTTTTTTCGTTTTAAATATACTACGAGGGCTCCAAACATGGTCACGATCCAAGTCACAGAAGACTTATTAATATCATGAGTTATTCTCCAAGTCTTGGTGTCTACTTGTTTCTTGATGGTTAACAAAGTTGACACTTCTTATACACTTAGCCCCAGACGATCCAACTATTAATGGGCTCATGGTACAATCTGAACGGGACGTTTATTTGACCAGTGGGCAAGGGTTTCTGGCCCCATTTTTTCAGCAAAATCTTTCGCGATCGCTCGAACACAAGGGGGTGAGGCACGACAAAGAGAAAGACGAAGTCAATAATATCCACGTAAACACCCACACGCGTGGCGGGGCCCGTATGGGCTTCCCCATGCGGCGATTGAGGCACGGCCCGGCCGTAAGTCTTGCACGGGCATAAACCAATCCTGAAAGGAGAACGCGATGCAACGGGGTATCCATTTCACGAGCGATGGAGACATCGGGGGTACCTCGTTCGATTCCAGCCATATGCTAATTCCCCTCTTGAACCGCCGCGCTCTCGGCGTCAGCCCTGCACGGGAAATAGGAGGAGGGCCTTCGAGGATACGTCCTCGACCAGCCACACCATATTAAATCTTCCAGTGTTCCGCTTTTGCGATTGAAATCACCGGGTCGGCCACAAAAACGGATACGTGGTGGCGAAATGCTAGACGAAATCCCGCGTGCGATTGGCACCCGTTAAGGTGCAGTTTCCTGACCAAGGCTGCCTGTAGAGCCTGAAGAGCAGTACTTTAACCCGAGTTTACTGTACCTACTTTGCGACAACCGTTCGACTCGCCCGCGAAAAACGGGGAATCGTTCGATTTGCATCGGAACACCTTGCCAGGATAACGACCCCCGTTGTTTTTCACCTGCCTCGCGATGATACTTAAGCGGCCCGCATCCTCGATTCACCCTTTCGGTGGAAGGTGTTTCCCTGGCACGAGGTTAACGCACTCTTTCGTCGACTTTGTTGCGACTAGGTTTTAAAGAATCCCGGAAACTCACGTTCGTAGTAATAAAAATTCGTGGAACAATGTTTATTTTAAGTTACTCTAGATCAGACGATCCCCTGATGAGGTTATTGTTTCTCTTCTTCATCCCCATACATGAAATAGGGGGCGTGAATAATGGAAAACTGCGTTTAACTGGGGCGGTCGTTGAGAGTTTAACGTTCCCGGGTACGGATAAATTCAGCCACGTGTGAGAAATTACGGAACAAGGCGAACAGGTAATATAGCTTCCAAGTAAAGACCGTAAAGCAGCGTTCGGGGGATCGATGTGATAGTTCTATTATAGCCATTGGTACCGGAGGTGTGTAACAAAGCGATACGATCGTCGTAACCGTCCGGAACACCTCGAACAACCCGGAGTTCTGGGCTCTCTTTCTCTCTACACGAGAACCTGGGCCCCGTGGCGCGGGATTTAATGGAGCAAATCGTTCCCCTGCTTTCGACCAATTATCGACCTCTCCTCGGATGTAACCGCGTCGCCTATTCCCAACCTCGATGTACCTACATACACACCGAAGAATCCTTTTTTCTTTTTCCACCGCTCTTAGCATCTCTGATCCCACCCACTAGCGTAAAGTCCAATTAGAGTCGACTAGCCGTTCGAGATAATTGGCGAACACTTGCGCGACGACGTAACTCACCCAGCCGGTAGCGTTTCCTCCTTCTATTCTCTTTCTTCTTTCTTGGTCCTGTTCCACGTTCACCCGGGGGTCATCCCGCTTTCGCTTGGCCTGTCGTTCTGCTTGATTGCGGTTGACGAAGATAACAGATAGCAGTGGCGCTTGGGAAGACCAATGGCTAGAATCTATTGAACTTCCATACGACTCTCGATTATTGTCCCAAACTCGGGTCCACACCGGGACAATAATCAAATAGAGAGAAATGCTTCAGACCCTCATAAATTCGTTTTTTTCCTC